CGCTCGAGGAGAAACAGGACAAGTGATTCGCTCCCCCGATGTACGGCTGCTCGTAGTGGATTACGATAAGAGCCACCACAAGCATTCACCTCTGCCCCATGCTCGAGGAGAAGCCGCACGACCGATTCGCTCCCTTGATATGCAGCTGCTTGTAGTGCATTGCCATACGTGCCGCCCTGAGCATTCACTTCTGCCCCACGCTCGAGGAGAAGCCGCACAATCGATTCGTTGTCACAACATGCAGCTGCTTGTAGTGCATTGCCATAATAGCCGCCCTGAGCATTCACCTCTGCTCCACGCTCGAGGAGAAGCCGCACGACAGATTCGCTCCCCCGATATGCAGCTGCTTGAAGTGCATTGCTATGACTGCCACCCTGAGCATTCACGTTTACTGTATCCACTCCTCTATTGACTAGCAATTTACAGGCCGTCACCAAATTTAGCAGAGAGGAATAGTAAATTGCTTGTGGGTAAACCCCAGCGCTGTGGGTGGAAAGCCGGTAAGGTTGGTCAGGGTCATATATATCTAGCCACTCCTTTCCCAGCTCGAGGACCTTTACCGACACGTCGAGGAGTGGGGTGGGTGCCGTATCCTCAATAGATCTAGTATACACGAACCAATAGCGGGCACTGTGGTAGAGAAACGAGGTGTTTTCGACTTTGTTCCCGCTTATTGTAGCTTGTGCACTATGTCGTAGTATTCGACTGAGACAAGCGTGCGCCATCAGTAAATTGGCTTTATCCTCCGAAATATGATAGTAGGCACTAGGGCCCTGACCTGTCCGGTCGGAAATTAGATATTCCTTTACTGAGAAATGAGCCAGTCGTAATCTTCGGTCCTCTTGAATGGATGATTGATCGTCCCTGGCATCTTCGAAGGAGATAAGGCTCGGGCAAATGCTCATGAGGGACTTCATATTAAAAAGAGGTTCTGAATCCTCGCCATATTTGTTGACATCGTATTCGATCACAATGGCCTCTGCAAGCTGTCCCAATGTCAACGGCTCTGCTGAAAATGCGAGCCAATGCATCGCTCGCCTAATATATTCCCTCTGTGCCTGGGGAATGCTGTTAAGGATCCTCAAGTAGACGGAATCCAAATCTTTCGGCAGTTCCTGCAAGGCGGTTCTCACAGCTTTTGGTGTTATGCATTCCTCTAGAATACGTAAAAGACAGTCCACCCATCGGAACCTTTACATATCGAATCTTATGTAAGCGTAAATTGAAAATTTAGAAGTTGAGTATAACATACATTCCTTGTGCGCGAGCAACGAGTGTGTCCTCTATCTCCATTTTGATTTCTTTGGTAAATTCCTTGAGGCCATCCCTACCGTCTAGGGAGTTCTGGATATATGAGCGGATATCCGGATCGATAGTATTAGATTGTAGCGATATTGAAAAAGTAGTGAGTGGTTCTAGGGATTTCACTATATCGGCCTCGGGACGGCTGGTGACGAGAATGGAAAGCGATCCCGCGTTATGATCTACGGTAAGCTCGCCGATCCAAGATAGGAGGCTCTTGCGGGTGTCCTTGGGGAATTCATCCAAGGCATCGAGAATGATAAACGTCTTCCTAAAACTCTTTATAATCCGTGACAACAGATCTTTCAGAGATTTGGTATCTGCCGGTTTTCCAATTGCCTTGCTGCTATCGTATAAGTCCACAACCTCAGCCGGTAAACCCCGCTCTGAAGGCCTTTTTGAAAGTTGGCCAATAAGGGATAGAAGCATATTGCGCAATTTCTGCTTCTCGGAGTCGCTGAAGGTGAAGTAGAAATAGGCCAGTGCATGATCATCCCTTGTGTTGCACAGATTCTCGACATCTTCAATGGAAGTAGCGCTGGGGGAAGTGTTAGAAATCCGGAAATCATATTTCACCTCCGGATATCCAGTTAGGTTTCTTACCTTAGAACACTTTTGCCACATCCGGCTATAAAACGGAAACGTTAATGACATTCTTCGAAGGATAAGATTCCACTCGTCTGTAGACTTACGTATACCATGAAGCCATAGAACCCCTCCCCTACCTTCCTTCCAATCCAAGTACTCATGTCCCTGGAGCAGCCACTTTCCCGTTCCGGGTTCACGAACCACAAGTGTAGACGAATAATTAGAGGCTGGGTCAACGACGTTAAGCCATTTCTGTACTTTCTGGATTTTGTTCTCTGGGGTTTTAGGAGTGTCTGGTATTAGTAAAGAAAATTATTTGCAGGGTTAGGGATAATGTGACCACGTACCGTCTTGATTTCGTAGCACCTTTGTTACCGTCTTGCTAAACAACTGGTTAGCCTTGCCATAAAAACTAAAACGGAGTGGAGAAGCTAGATGCTAGGGCGACTGAAGGATATATAACCTACGTTGTGGCTGTATTCAACAAGAGTTGAAGTTTCGATCTCTGTTCTTCAACCAAACCCAAGTAATGCTCCATTTTAGGTTTACGAAAAGGCCAAAGATATTTTCTCGTGGATTTCCTCCATTCAGGCACATCTAGCTTTTCCTCCAGCTCCTCCAGCGCTGTCTTGTAATCATTCAAACTTTCATTTTTCGTCCATTGAAGAAGAGCAGGGTATTGTGGGTCGTTCTCATCGTCTCCGGCGGCAAGGCTCCGGATTTCCTCCAGTTGTTGATGGATACTTTTAATCTCATCCCCCAGTTTCTTGAAATCTTGCTGGCTCCCCTTGACTGTGTCGTAGTAGTCATAGCAAAGTTTGAAAACCTTCGAGCTGAGATGGATGAGCGCCAAACCGCTGGCAGCCACGGAGAAGGCCTCTGCCATTTCTTTTTCGCAGGGATATTATGAACTTAAAGAGGGGAAGTGTGAAAGCGTAGCTATGATAGCCTGCTAACAAAAGTTAACGTTCGCTCTTGAGGTGTGTGGGCCTTCAAGCTTTAGATTCCTTTGGGCCGCGATTTGCTACTGTGAATTCAAAGATGTGGGGGAAGGAAACAACTATGATACCGTGTGCGGAGGGGGTTTCTTCAGAGGGCAAATTTTTTCTTAAGTTCGCTGTGAGCGGGGGCACTGGCACCTAATTTAAATACTAGTGCTTGTACATAAGGACGGCAGCTGCATGCCCAATCTCTATTGGTACACCTGCAAGCCAACCATTCTTTGAGTACTGTACAGTACCGTACTCGAGTAGACAAGCCTCCATGCTCACATTTTGATTAATGATCGAATTTCTTTCCCCGCCTTTGCTTTGAAGCGCGAAGGTGTACTGTACTCGGGTGTGTTCATGGAAATCAGGGTGATTAATACCTGCTATGCAATGTTGGCGAGCAGAAAGCAACAAAATGTGGAAAACAAAAAGAGGGATTAGCCGTCCAAGGACTCGTAATCAATGGGAAAAGACAAGAGAGCCCTGGTGGCTGTGAGCAGAATGGTGGAACCGATGATAAAATCTCGCGGGGCTTGAACGAGATGAATTCTTCTCCCTAGCGCGGTGAAAACAGTAGTATTTGACCCTAACCCTCCTGATCACCAAGTACCAGCCACGTTCAAGCCTCCAGGGGAGCACATTTTAAATTACAAGAAGTAAAACCCCGCGCTCTGCTCAACAAACACTTTTTTTTCCACGGTGCCATCGGTAGGCATGATGGACTACTCGAGTACAGTCATACCCCGCTATCCCGGATCTCGATAACCCGGATACCTCGCTGTCCCGTATGAATTTCTGTGAGCTTTGGATTTCTTTCCACCAAAACCTCACCCGTTGTCCCGGATCCCTCGCTGTTCCGGACAGATTCTCCGGATTTTGGCCATCCGGGATAGCGGGGAGCGACTGTACAGTACTGTACTCTTAGCGGTACCAGGCGGATTAACTGGGAGTGTGGACAGCCCCGGCATGTTTTAGCGAGGTCGGACCGTATCGGAATCAGTATGATACCTGTATCATACCTAAGTGGTGTGCGGTAGACTGCCTGTAAATTTACTCGAGTACCGAATTCGGGTACCAGTATGATACTACTCCGTATACTCGTACCGTGTTCAAGCCCAGTGCATACACCACGCCGCGCAGAATTCGATAGGGCAATTTATCAACACCTTTGGTTTACCGGTATCTCACAAATGCGACCTGAGAGGCGTTCATCACTGTTCTTGAAAAAGTGCATGGAAAATTTGTTGCACCCCTGTTCAATGTCCTGGGACTGGTGTCGAAATCGCTCCCTCAATTACGGTGAAAACCCTTGGGATTCTCTATCTGAGTCCACTTGCTAGTCTCGTGGATCAGAGACAAATGTTCCAGAGAAGGATTAGTGCCTTTCAAACACTGTAAGCCTGAGTATTTTGACTGCGTTGGATCTCGTTAACTGAATTTCGCAGTTCCATTAACTTGCAAAATTGATCTGAACGGGGGGCGAAATCGTGATTTACAGAGATGTTTGAGACCTTAGGAGATAGGGAAACATCAAGGGTTTTTACGGTGCGGGTACCGGTGTGGGTCTTCCCTTTCTCTTCTATGATACCCAATTGGATGGTGGTTTGACCACGCCTGTGAAGCAAACTGCAATTTTTACTATTTTACCATGCCAAGATTGTGAGGATAAAATTGATCCTGAATAGAACTGGTGTATCAGAGTCGATATGGAAGGTGCAGATTGAGGAAAAGACTACGCCCAGTCGAGGTGAGGTGGTGATCAAACTAACCGTTGAGAGGCAGAAGTGGTTGTTCTTGTCTAGCTAAGGAAACATGAAATCGCCTTTCTAGGCAGAAAATTCTGTGCGCCAAGCCGTCTACCTATGTGCAGCTCACAGTCGGCAAAAACACCTCCCTCGACTGCCAAACTACCCTCTCAAATCAGAAACGGCACCGCCAGTTCAACCGGCCACTATGAAGCCGACGAACCATGTGCAGCTCCAGAGCCCCTCACTTTCTGGGGTTTGAGCTATCTGTGGGGAATCCTTCGACACTGGTATCACACCGTACAGCTATCACCCCGTGGCTTCCATTCCCCACTTGATCTCCGCCTCAGGAGAATCTCTGTTCCATCGCCCCACTCTTTTCACCCTTTTCAAGACTCTGATATCGGACGAAGGGCCCGGAGCCAAACCACGAAAACATCACCATGCCCGCTGCGCTTGTTCAATCACCGGATTTTCCAAATGGCAAACTACTTTCTATCATCGACATTCGGCCCCGACCTCTCCTCTCACATCCTACCACTCGCCGCTTAGAACCCGTACCCAGCTTTCCAGCCTTCCCGACAAGTTGGCAATATTTAGACATCGGTCAATAGTCGAATTTCGTCCGCCATGCCCTGTGCTGCCGGATGGATACCGCGCGCGGGACCTGGATGGCCTAGAAAGGGTCCTCTGTTTACCCTACCCTATTCAGGTAATTAAATTAAGCGCGCCATCAGTCAAATCCTCTATCCGTTTTTGATTTCACCCCTGCTGCAGTTACTCTCTAGTTCTGTTCCACTTCTCTCCTTTGCCCCGTCACATGCGCCACGACATGCGACCGACTGCCGCCCGATTGTACTCGTACAAAGCCTTCCAGCAAGGTACGGCCGAGGACTTGGCGGGTAATAACACACGCCCCATTCGTTGCCCCCTACAAGGCCAGTCGGGCGGCCGGTCCTTCCTGTGTATGCCTCCGGGTGTTGTAGCATATAATCAATGCTGGCCGGGATTACGGTCCAACCAGCCTTGTCCTAAGGATGGGAAGAACACCGTTCGGGTCTCTGGATAGAAATTTTTTCTTCTCCCTCCTTCCCCCATTCTCCACAGCCTTTGCATAGTGCTACTTCATTGGTCATTGGGAAGTTAGGCTGTCTGTTTCTGCGACACGTCCGTGGATAGCCTTGCGGTTTCCCTGCCATGCCCGCAATCACGCGTCTTCCCCTAGGCAACCTACTTGGAATCCGCAAAGATGGAGGGTTGGTCAACCGCTATGGAGCCGATCACTCCTCCCTTATTTCGTTTCTTCTGGTTCATTTCATGATTGTCCATTTTACTTTTTTTCCCCTTTTTAGACTCCCCAGAGATGTTTGCATTTGCTAGACATTTCATTAGTACTAGTCCCTGCTTTTTGCCTTACCCTTTGGGTCTCTAGTTCTATGGGTGATTGTCCAAAAGAACTAGCTAGGGCAAGAATTCCACTCTAGCATCATAACCGCTTACCCCCCTTCCCAGTCCTCCAGGCATCGTCCTTGGCGCCGTCACCCCCGGCCACCCCATAATGCCTTGGATCTCGCTTGATCAAATACTTGGCTGTCCCGAGTCAATCTCACGGCCCCCGAACTCCATCCTCACCGGGGCCCAATCTGCCATCACAGGTTACTCAGTTTACCAGACCGACTCTTAAAAACCCGGCGGCTCGGAGCAGCGATGTGCAAGGCGTATCCACACTAGACCCTGCCCCTTTATCTATATTTCTTCTGCTTGGCTGGCGGGAGGGCTTTCTGAGGCGCACTTGGGGTAGCTGTTCTTGTAGTAGGGGGTAGGGCTGGGGGGTGAGGGAGGAAATATCATGAAAAACACCTACGTTGTGGTTTGATTGTAATTTAGTTGGGGCGTTGGCCTTCCCACCCTTCACAGCTTGGAATCAAATTAAGATATTCCCGTTGCATCTCCTCCAGGCGTCCCCATATTCCCAGATTTTGTATGACATCAATAGTGGGGCGGCGGATGCGTAAAAAACGTTTGGGAACTTCTGACACGGGGATCCTTCTCGGTTCTGGGGCGGTGGTATCTGCTAGTAGGTTCCTGGAGTTCCGAAGTGCTCGACCAGAGAATGAGGGATGACTACGCATCCTTTATTCGTAAGCGGCTGGACCACACTCCCGTGTGAGGTTAGGGCACTAGCACGAGAGCATAGCCTATCTAGGTTCCCGCAACATAACAATCACATCCCAACCCCGGCATTCGTTAAGTGGTTGTGGGACCCTGTAAGCATTCCGATGGTCTTACCCGACTCCGGAATCATTGGATCCGGCCCGACCTAACGCTGCCGGAGGTCTAACCCGGCGAGCCTAGCGGCTAGTTCATCTTTACCCCTGGAAAGCTAAGATGAGCGGTCGAAGAGGCGGGATCAGACACTCAATATTGAACCCCGAATCATGGATTATATTTGTTAGCGGTTGGTACCGGTGGCCGCACTCACGGCCATTAGGATTGCAGAGGGCTTCGGGTGCCCCATTTGCGAGTCCCGACATGCATGTATTTCTCGTTGAGTGGGCAACGTGGGACCCAGGAAGCACTGCACATCAAATCATCTCCCCACCCAATAGCTGTCCCTGCGATGCTTTCCACCCCCGAAGCGCAGGGAGGGCACAATGTGGTTCCACCATCCAGAGCACTGCGTGCGCGATACCACATAGTTAGATAGAAAAAAGCCCCCGAGATGTGAAGTAAATTACGGAACCGGCTTGAGAGGATACCCGCGCTGGCAGTTCCAGAGACAGAGTCAAGCGATAAGTCCACCAGAACCGCAGATAAAGCTCAAAATTTCAATCCTTCACTCGCACAGCGGCCAACAATATTTCTGCAGTGAAACCAACTGCAAGAACACGCAAAATGTAAGTCGGTGCAAGACCACCAATTGCGCAGTACTAGTTTGCTCAATAAGCCGGGGAAGGGCTCCTGAGAGAGATAAAATACTTGAAATTGGAACAATGTTCCGTAGAACTATTTCAGTAGTTGGATTGAGAATACCGGGCACTGCTCTTGGCTGTGCGGGCTCTTTTCAAAGTGTGGGCGGTGTATCACTGACATGACATGATACCTATCTAACCAATTTAGAACTAGGAACTGCGATGCTAGAATGTAAGGCGTCGAGTGATATATAATGACGTGAAAGGTGCTTTGTACCGTGGTGGGAAATTCTATGAACTGGCGCACTTTTGGGGCTAGTCCTGGCGACTAACTTGATGCATTGATTGGGTATCGATAGGGTGATACACGCGGAAGACAAGGAGGACGAAGAGTAGAGAAAATAAGACCTTAAAGGAAAAGGTCACTTTTGCTTTCATGACAGACCCCTGCGCGAGCACACAACGGCGGCCTTTTCCGTTTAGGGAAAGAGCAAGGGGGAGGGGTAATGAGATAGACTATAAGGAAAAGGGAGGAAGGGGGGGGGAAGTAGCGAGGCCTGAATAGAGCATAAACCGATATCAAATCCGACTAGCTAAGAAGTAAATCGGTAGACAAGAATGAGACTCCCGCCCTCTTGAGAACTCCTTTCATCGCTTTCCACCGCCTCCGGAACAATACCCCTCAAGTCGTTTCCTAAATTAGGGTCTCTGGGCAGATTCAACGGTTAATGATAAGAATGGATAAAACCCCAAACCCGGTAGTATACAATCAAAGATGTATCCAATTTTCATTAGAAAACTGAGTAAGATTAACAATAAAGAGATTGACTTAAAAAAGCGTCAAGGAGTAGAGCAAGTTAAATTAGGACATTCAATGTGCGATGACAACTCCCGTAATACAGGAGGAGGGGCTATGTTGGAGGTACCGGACCGGGTGCAGGATAAATGAAATCGAAGGATAGAGGGGTTGTAGGGGGGACGGATACGGGGCGAGAATTGGACATCCGAGTTTGTATGTTCAGGTAGACCCGTCGTAGGATGAATTGAGACTTTGGAGAAGGCCACAGAGGCCTCTAGGGTAGCCGGTGGTAGTAGGCTAGATGTAATTCCGGAAATGAGCAGTTTGTTCGGGGCGAGTAATAGAGCACGGCTGTAGACTGGTGCCAGTTGATTTCTGGGAATGTTGCCTGTGTAGGTGGGAGTTGGGTATTTTTTTTACGGTGGTCATGTGAAAAATAGGCAAGGGAGAGGGAGCAAATGTGGTATAGGAAAGGCAAAAACTGCAAGAATTGATGGCCACTTCGGGGATGGAAAATTCGAGAGGTTGAAGAATTGAGAATCTCCTAGCTAGTTGTGCTACTTGTATCACCCGCCGAAATGCCAGCACTGGGATCCGCCCCGTGTGTGAGGAGAAGCTGGACAATCGATCCGCGGTTTAATTCTTTAGCTGCTTGTAGTGAATTTCCATACAAGCCACCCTGGGCATTCACTTCTGCCCCACGCTCGAGGAGGAGCTGCACAACCGATTCGCTTCCTTCATATGCCGCTGCTTGTAGTGCATTGCCATACTCGCCGCCCTGAGCATTCACTTCTGCCCCACGCTCGA